AGAGAGAGAGCTCAGAGAGAGAGAGAGAGCTCAGAGAGAGAGAGAGCTCAGAGAGAGAGAGAGCTCAGAGAGAGAGAGAGCTCAGAGAGAGAGAGAGCTCAGAGAGAGAGAGAGCTCAGAGAGAGAGAGAGAGCTCAGAGAGAGAGAGCTCAGAGAGAGAGAGAGTGGCCCCTACTTTGAATCACTCTAGATAAAAGTCCTCCCGAGATGTAAGAAATCTGTCATTTCAAACATCATAAACATTAACAACACTGTGAGACTGTTACAGGTTTTACAACTAGCAGTCTGGATTCAGTGATGTTTGCAGATGACATTATGATCTGTGGTGAGAACAGGGAACAGGTGGAAGAGAGCTTGGAGAGGTGAAGATATGCACCTGAAAGAAGAAGTAGTCTGGATTCAATGCTCAGTTCCTGACTTTGTTGCTGAGATTCTTTTTTTTTTTTTTTTTTTTTTTTTTTTGCGTGGTCGTTCACATTCCCGTCACCAGACTCCGGTGTGTTTATGGCCCTGGAGCGACGCACATGCACAGGAGAGGTGACGTCACAGTTTACAGAAGTAAATATGGAAGTGTGTCAGCATGTGTGCATTGATTCTGAGGTTCTTCTGCAGTCAGACTTAACTACATTAACATCTGCCACGCTTATCCTGATGCTGCTCAATAATCCAGGTAGAAAAATCTAAAAAAGTTCAGTCTGGTCCTCTGGACATTCAAAAAACAAAACAACAAAGAAAACGGTAGAAACGTTTCTGCCATGCTTGTTTTGTCCAGTGATCTGCTGCATCACACCTACGGTACAGAGTTGTGATGTTTGTTGCACTTCAGTGTCATAAAAGTTGGGACCACATCTGAAAGTAGCCTGGGTGTCTGTGAGTTCTGAAGTTACAGAGGCAACGTGGGGGTTGAAGCCAACCCACCCCTTGTGTGCCTCTGAGCCACCAAACCAAGTTTCAGAGCCGTAATGTGGGCTGACTTTATATCTGTCAAAATATCAACGATGAGACTCGTCAGTTTTGTATTTAGATAAAGGTAACAGGTGGAAGGATGGATGGAAGGACAGATGGGGATGGATGGATGGATGGGTGGATGGATGGGTGGATGGAAGGACAGATGGGGATGGATGGATGGATGGGTGGGTGGATGGATGGATGGAAGGATGGATGGATGGATGGATGGAAGGACAGATGGGGATGGA